ATAACAAAGAGTGAAAAATTTAAGGGGGTCTGAATACTTTCCGTACCCACTGTATGTAAATTAATCATTCTGAGAGAAAAGTCTCTCAATTTAGACTTAATATACTTGCATACTGTAGTAAAGAAAAGTCACTTTAGGCGTGGCCTTCATAATTTGAGCAAGTTCAGTAAAAGTGGTTGAAAAACAAATGGCTTTGATTAGTAAATAAATGTTTAAATAAAATCAAATACAATTCCAGCCTCAGGTTACTTCATAAGGAACTGCTTTGCAGGTTTGAACCTATGTAAGTTATGCAAGCTATTCATATCAAAGACAGACATCTACTGATGAAAAACGTGTCATGACTCTTCTACTATAACATCAAAAGACTTTTAAAATGAAAGTATGTAGGGTGTCGTCTTCAGAAATCATTGACATATATGAGGTGCACTCCTCACAATAGGTTAACAAAAAACAAGTTCAATTTGATCAGGTTTATCAAATGGTTTTCTTGCTAAGCTGGCTGCCCTGTAGCTGTTACCAGGAAATAATGTGTGGTTGTATGTTAACGAGTAATTCCTCAGAACTGTACTGGTAACTCATCTACATAACTCATAGGGTAATTAATTTTCAAAACAACCAAACTTCTAAAGAACAATTACTTAGTAATGTGTTGCTTTTTTAATAAAGTTTAATTATTCAGTAATTTGTCATTCCCCAACCCTCACACATAAATGCAGGGTGAAAAAGGCATGTGATGACGTTTTCTTTTTTTGGGGGGCGGACCAAAAGATGCTTTAGTCTTATATTTTTGTGGTGCCAAAAACAGTGTCAGGTTGATAAGCTCTGTCATTAACAACACTCACACTGACAGATTTGTTTCATCTCTTCTAGAAGATGTTCCCTCGCTCTTCGCTGGTTCCAGCCTTGTTGCTGTTTCTCACCGTGCAGGTGAGTAGAAAGCGATGTGGATGTATCACGTAAACGCTCTTTTGGAGAAATTGGGTTAATAAAGTATCGTGGAAGGTTGTCAAATGCAATGTGTAAATACACCTCGACGAAAATCATTGTTGTGATCAGTATTTTTGTCAGGTGTTAAAAAAAAAACAACTTCTAAATATTACCAAAGTGAGATTAGCTGAGAAGAAAAACTGTGCTCTGTAAAAATGTAATTAAGTAATTTTAACAAGAAATGCTGCTGTAACTTTATCAAATATTATATGATTATTATATTTATAATAAGGTTCCCGTTGTTATCATTAGTTGACTACAGTAGTTAACATAGATTTAGAAAGCATTTATTAATCTTAGTTCATGTTATTTCAACATTTACTAATACAATAAAATACAAATATTTTTATTATATAATAGTAGTAAATGGTAATATTATTTAAATGACCTGAGCTAACATAAACTTACAATGAACAATGATATTTTTTATTAAATAACATAAACAAAGATTGCTGTAATAAATGTATTGATCTTCATATGATTTTTATATTCCGGGTCTGTTTGGACCTAAAGAAACGTTGATTAATTAAACAGTCATAACTTAATAGTTTTCAACTAAAACCATATTATTTCTTATCACCAAATTTTCATTAATGAATGAATGTGGGGGGAAAAAGGTTTGAATGTTACCATATTATTACCATGTTTTTACTGGATTTATCCATAACTATAAAAACTGAAATTATAGAACTATATGTACGTATGCATTTATGTATGTATGTATGTATGTGTATATATATATTTATGAAGAGTTCAGATGCAAAAGCCTCTAAGTATCGTCTGAAATTTTCTTCTAAAATTAGCATTTTTATCAGGCTCCTATGTTTAGGTTTAGTTATTTTACTTTAATGGCAATGTATAGGTCATTTTCTGTTCCACATGAAAAGATATAATAAAATATTTACAAAAATGTGAGGGGTGTACTCACTTCTGTGAGATACTGTTTATATACACACACACATACACACAGTTGTGGTCAAAATTTTACATTCACTTTGCAGTATATGCAAAATGTTAATTATTTTACGGATCATACAAAATGCATGTTATTTTTTATATAGTACTGACTTGAATAAATATATATATATATATATATATATATAAAATATAAAATAAAGTAAACCAATAATATTTTAAAAGACAATACATGTCATTTTATTGCAAAATATTGTCAAATATTCTTTTTAGCTAAGTAAAAAGCATTTAATATATGAAATGTATATTATTTTTAACAAAGCAATTCACAGTTTATTCATACTTTATAAGGGAAAGCAGCAACATTCTGTTAGAGAACAATTACATTTTTGATAAGTGATCGTGTGGTTTTCAGTACCACATACATTATTAGCAGTATATTTGACAGTAATAAACAGATTTTTAATACCTCAAGGTTGTTATATTAACATAATATAATTTAATGACATTCAATCCTATTCAGGCACCAAAAGGATTGTACCATCACTGTGTTTTATGATGATGACGATTTCTTATAATTAAGCCTATTTTCCAAACAAGTAACAAAAAAGACAATAATTTAAGCACGACTGAAAGCTACAATATCTAGTGGTGCATGCAAGAAAACTAATTTTAACTGATACAAATTTTGATCTTAAAAATGTGCGTATTAGTAAATGTAACCCTCATGTTGTGTTCCGATCATTTTGACCTGGAGAGGATTTTCTTTTTCCAGAAAATACGACATAATATTTTCACATTTGACTAAAACTACATTTTTTTTTTACCAAATATTTGAATTCAGTCTTTTTATTACTTTGTTTTCTTTCGGTTTCTTTCTTTTTAGTAAATGATCATTCGGACGCCTCACTGATCAGAGTTTTTGCACCTCAGTTTTTGAATGAAGCATTTGTGGATCATTTTGGCAACGTTCACTCAAAAAAAAATAATAAAAAAAATTGCTCAGATAATTGAGGCCTGATTGATCAGTTCCAAGAAAAGTAATACAGAACCTGTGCTAACTGAAAGAAAACAAGTTACTAATATTTTTACTGGAAAACAAGACAAAACTACTGATTAAGAAAATAATCTTGTACTCAAAATATCAATATAACAATGAATGTTAATTTGTTAGCTGCGTTATTAGCATACAGTACTGTCTTTACATTTCAAGCAAACTAGGTTTGTAATAGAGAAGGCTAGCATGAACAAATCCATACGATATCATACAGAGGATGATGTCTCAGGAGGACCCTCTACAATATCTGTCCTCAACTACAATTTAACCTTACAAGTCCTTACGGTAATGCTTAGTAAACTAGAAAATTAATGCATCTGAACTACAAACAACAACCTTCTAAACAATAATATTATTAAAATTGAGAATTTTTATCATGAAAATATAATTAAAATATAATAAAAAAATATGATATTCATATTTTGGCAATTTTGCCTTTATTGCAATAGGACAGTATAGCCAGACAGAAGCGAAGTGGTGGAGAGAGGGGAACGGGCTAGAGTCGGGACTCAAACTCGGTTCACCTGAACAGCAACTGCGTTACATGTCGGAGTAGGCTATTTATTTTTATATTTAAAAAACATATAGATATTTTTACAGATATTAAAATATTTTTATATTGTAAATATATATAAAATATACTCTGCATAGGACACGACAATACATTTGATTGTCATTAAGCTGAATACTCAATTACATTTTCAAGGCGATAATATTGGCAATGGAAAGGAAAATCAAGGAAAAAAGATGCATATTTTACAAGATATAATGACTAGAAGTTTTCCTCTCAAACAAAAAAGCCCTTTTTATTGGAGTATGTTTTTTTTTGTTGTTGTTGTTGTTGTGGAGTCTATGACCAAAATGAATGATTTTAAATAAAAGATGGATAAACTTGACTCAAGTGTGAACATGGGCGACAATCAGACTATACCAAACAGATGATACTGTAACAAAATCTGACTTGATGTGTCCTATAGAGTCACATAATCAAGACAATAAGGAAAATGTAATTAAACGAGCACGTTTCTAAAGCTAGTAAATAGTTGACTTTTCAAGTTAAATAGGCTATAATTCAGTGTTTCTTTCTTTCTTTCTTTTGTTGACACACTAATTTATCATTTCGGTACTATTTACTTCCCTGAGGCGGAGTTCTTCAGTCTGAATTGTGGTGTGATGTTTTCACAATGTTGCTCTAACATAACATCTGGTGAATATGTGTGTCATTTGTCTCACATTTGCATGCACAAAGTTACCAAAATTATGCACAACCACCTATCACTGTTAAAACATAATTAAACCTAACCACCAGGCCATAAATAATTAAAAATGGCATGAAATTATATTTACATTTATTTTTTATTTTTAAAAACAGGTCCTGAGCACTGGAGACTGCTGGACCGGTTCACAGAAGCAGCGTCATAAGAGGGAATGGGTCGTCCCTGCCAAACATTTTACAGAAAATGTAGACTACAGTCATTCGCCCTATTTCAGCAAGGTAGTAGACAAAACCATATCATAGATACAGCGATTCTCTCCACTCATTGCATGTACAGCACATTACAATGCTGGCTTGATTCAATAATAACATTTAAAAGTTATTCAATATTCATGATTTATTCTCTCAATAAATCAGTTTCCCAGTTACACAGCCAGCTGTCAGAACGTTCCACAAACAGGGTACAAACTAAGGTTATCACTCGTGAGGGATTAGGTTTAGGGTCAAATTTACTTTATCATCCATAAATGAAAGAAAATAATATTTGTTTGATCTTTTTTCATACAGTAAGATGTGTTGCAATTTGAAGTAATTTGACATTTTTGTAATGGGTGAAAAGCATGTGGTAACAGGACTGTGCACAATTTGTAATAAACATCATAATTTTGATCATTAAAATCAGTTCATTCTTAGTAATATGAACTGAATATAATTTCAACACAGCAGTAGTATGAGACTATTGTATGATTTTTTATTGTTATTTATGATATTGTGATTTTAAACTTAAACGTTCTTTTCAAAAAAAAAATCTGCCTTGTGCACTTGTTTTTGATGACAGCAGTCTAACCATGCAATGTTACATTTCTCAGATACGATCTGACCTTGATGAGATCACGATGCTGCGCTACACTATAAGAGGTCCAGGAGTCAACCTGCCACCTGTTGGTAACTTCATATTAGACGAGCAAAAAGGGTGGGTTCGCATCATACAGCCTCTGGATCGCGAGGAGAGACAAAACTACACCGTGAGGATAACAAACACACACATTTAAGATGAAGTATATACAGTATAGGTCATGTGTTATAGGCCTACTGGGACTAGTTGTCACAAGGGATATATCTCTGTTAAATTATAAGGTTCTGAGAAAAAAATCAATTTCACAAGTACAAAAAATAAATAAATAAATAAAATCTCTAGACAGCACTGTAAAAAAAAATTTTGTTTCAACTTAAAGTTGCCTTAAAATTTTGTCAACTTGAAATGTAATGTGACTTAGGTATTTGAGTTGACTAAAATAAAAAAATTAAGGCAGCACAAACACTTTTTTAAGTTGTATATATATATATATATATATATTGCTGCAGCGATTGAGAAAACAATAAAACTAGACTGAAAGTTTACATTTATTTAGCAAAATAATTTTATTAAATGCCATGTTAGTTTAAAAGGGGCAATTGCCATGTGCCATTCTCAAATGGAATGCAATCAATCAATCAATCAATCAAGTATTTGTTGGCCAAAACAATGTTTAAACTTTGTATGGTACTTTATTTAAATTGTATCATTATTACTGTTTAACTAAAAACCCTATACTAGACTGTTTAATGGCATACAATTGTGACTACTGCTCTCCCATATCAATGCATTGCTGATAAACTGTTTACTATCCAAAAACTCTAGCCAGATTTTTCAAGGTTTTCTCCTCTAGTATTTAAAAAAAAATTGTTTTGGTCTTGTAGCTTATTGCCACTGCATGGTATCCTAACAACACCATAGCTGAAGATAATATTAAAATAAACATTGTTGTGGAGGACCAGAATGATAACCCACCAGTTTTCATCAAGCCAGAACGCATCAGCATATATGAGGGGAGCCCAGTTGGTGAGCCTGCCGCTTTTTTGCTGTTGTGAAAAATTGCTTGATTTTCTGAAATTAGAGATGACCAATCCTTCATCTTAAAGATCTAGTGTGGTAGATTTGTTTTTGTAATAGCTGTGTCCTTTCTAGGTACCTTTGTAACACAAGTTGTGGCCAAAGATGCAGATGAGCCAAACACTCTTCACACAAAGATAGCGTACAGCTTGATCAAGCAAGAGCCAAACAATGGCAAGCTTTTCTTTGCTGTTCATAAAGACAATGGAACAATCTCTGTAAACAACCCAACACTTGACAGAGAGGTATCTGTTACCAGTTATACTGATATTTGTACATGTGTTTGTATGTTGGTAGCTTCAAAAGTTTCCACCAAACAGTCTGAATGTTCAAATTCCCATTCTCTTCAACAGGAACACAGATCTTTTGTTCTTACGGTGCAAGCTGCTGACATGTATGGAAGTGCTGAAGGAAATTCTGCTACAGCTACTGTATTTATAGACATCCTGGATGTCAATGACAATATTCCTACTTTGGAGAAGGATGAGGTGACTATGTGCATTGGCTAATGTAACTTGAATAGTCAGGAGGTCACAATTATGACATTAAATCGTCTTTTTTAATTCCCTTGTGAAAAAGAATTGTGTTTGCCTGTATTCATTGTGTACTTGTAGTGTACTTCAAATCTTGAAAATATATATTTTTTTAAATTGCATTTAACATAATATTAATGAAAAGTGTATTTAAAGAAAGCAGACTTTCACACAATTAATAAAAATGTGAATTATTTCAAATGAAAAGTTTTACTTTAAAGTGCATTTTTAATTAACTACCAAATGCTAAAGTACATGTAAAGTGCTCCATTATAATAACATGCAGTAACAGTGCCTGCAAGTTCACACTTAAGTATATTATTTTAAAGTATATTTAAGTACTTTTTTTACGTATGCTTAAAAGTATGTGTAGTTCTACTGTAGTATAAGAAAAACTTCAATAATGGTCAAGAAAACAAAGTGTGGACATTGTTTTGGTTTCCTAGTTTTCAGCAAGTATTGATGAGAATGAGGCACCTGTTGAGGTTATGAGGATCCAGGCGCTGGATAACGATGAAGAAAGGACAGACAATTGGTTGGCCGAGTTTAAAATAGTCTCGGGGAACGAGGATGGACGTTTCTCTATTGAAACTGATCCGAAGACAAATATGGGTGTTTTGTATCTGAACAAGGTCAGTGCTTATTTTGTACACAGTTCTTAGAAGTTAATGTGATGGAAGCAAGGATATCAGGGCTGAAATGTAATAAGGGTGTGCTGTATTAGTGTGATGTACACATGTGTGCTGTTTGCATATTTGTTACGAGGGTTTTTTATTTTTAACTTTTTTTGAGCAACCAACTGCACCTTGTTCTCTCCTCTAGCCTGTTGACTTTGAGTCAGCATCTGAAATGAACCTGAACCTAGTTGTTGCAAACAACGCTCTTCTAGGAGCACCTCTCGGGGGTGGAGCAGGAGCAACAGGTGGTGGAGCTGGAGCTTCTGGAGCAGCTGGTGGAGCTGGAGCTTCTGGAGCAGCTGGTGAAGCTGGAGCTTCTGGAGCAGCTGGTGGAGGAAGTGTGTTCAAGCAAAAGACATACTCAGTGAAGATCAATGTCAAAAACAAGCCAGAAGGCCCAAAGTTCAAGCCAAAGATCAAGCCTATATCTGTATCTGAAAACACCAAAAATTATTTTCCAAGAGTAATTGACACCTACACTGCTATAGAAGAAGACACAGGCAAAACAGCAGAAAAAGTAAAGTAAGTGTTCTCCAAGCATTTCCTGAGAAGAAAAAAAATAAATAATTTAATCGAATATGCAGTACACAACAACTTAAGCCATGCCTATTAAAGATGTTTAGATGCATCAATACACCTTAGCATTTTACAGTTTTACAATATTTGATTGGATACTATATTTGAGGTTTATTACCATTCAGAAACGTCATGTTATAAACCTCAAACCTTCAAATTGCTAAACCAAATGTAGAATTTAAAATTGCAATAATATAATGGTCCATGTTTGTTTAGATATGCAAAGGAATATGACCCTGACAACTGGATTTCTATTGACATGGACACGGCTGAGATAAAACTGAACAAGGTACCAGATCGTGAGTCTCCATTTTTGGTAAATGGGACCTACTATGCCAAGATCCTCTGCATTACAGATGGTTAGTATGAACAGTTAGTCAGAACATTACATTGGGATGTTTGGACACACCTACTAGCATTATTAATATTAGCATTTATAATTTAGACATATAGTCTAAATAAACAAATAGTTACACTTTCCACACAGTTCAATTTCTTCAACTTCATGATGTTTGTCCTGGGATGCTTTTTAAACAGTAGCGAAGGAGTCTACATGTCAAACAGTAAAAGATGATTTAAGAAGGTTAATTGTAACATGTTTTGTGTTTGTTATAATTTTAGAACTGCACTCTCAGACATCTACAGGGACTATAGCTTTGCAGGTGGAGGACCTGAATGACAACTGCCCCAAACTCCTTAATAATGTGCAGACTGTCTGCAGTGATACCAGAATAGTCAATGTCACAGCAGAAGATGAAGATTCAGATCCCAACGGAGCTCCACTAGAGTTCAGTTTGATACAAGAGAAGACAAAGGGCAAATGGAACCTGCAGAGAATAGATGGTAATACCAAACAGATAATAATATGATTTATTTGCAAGGGTCTGAATGATGAAAAAAGTGAAAACGTATACACTTCTTGATCTAAACATGTTTTTGTTATTTACAATCAACTGAAAGCAATCATGCCACATATAAAGTAGATAATCACCATTCTTGTTCACTTTTGAGTAGAAAGTGACATAATAGTAAGGTCTCTCACTGTTTCTCACCTCTTCAGATGTAACTGTTTCGATGCTCGCTGAAGATGACTTATGGCCTGGTTTTTATGAAGTCACCATGGAAATCAGAGACAAGCAAGGACTGGCCTGTCCTGATGAGCAAGTCCTCCGTTTAGAGGTTTGCACTTGCTCTGAAGGAACGTTTTGTGCTTCAAAAGTGGCTGCATTACGCACTACATCAGCCAATCTTGGAGCAGCAGGAATTTGTTTCCTGATTCTAGGATTCCTCTGCTTAATCTGTGAGCATGAGTTTACTTTGCTGTGGTCTACCACTGTAAATTTATTATTGGTGGTAACATTGTAAAACAGACATATGTTTTGTTTGTCTGTCTCTATTTTTAGTGACGCTTGTGGCCGTAATAAAATGTGAATGTGAGAATGCTGGAAACCATTTTATTGATATTCCATTTGAAACCAAGCATCATCTTATCTCCTATAGCACAGAAGGAAAAGGAATAGACGTGGTAAAAAAATCCCTTCATGAACTTGCACAGCTCATATTTATATTCTGAGGGAACAAGTGAAAGTGTAAAACACTGATTCTGTTTCTCTTGCAGGATGCTTTTCTAGAGACCATCCCACCAAAACTGTACAATGAGGGGGGCGACAAAATAAAATTATACAAAGAAACTGCAAGAATGGTGGAAGCTAACTCTAATTTCCCATTGGACGAAATTCAGGTCCCCAGGTCAAACCAGACTGTATATAACAGTTCTAAAATGCTAGGAATGATGCAGGAGAGTGCATTTGGAGGTTTTTACAGTGACATGGACATGGAAAACTCTGTCAGGTCGCAAGAAGGACAAGTCTTGCTTGATGCATTCCTAAAAGAATACTTCGCACAAGTATGTGATTTTTAAAAATTGTATTGAGGTGTTTTTTTAATGGAATAGTTCACCCAAAAATTTAAAATGGGCAGAAAAATTTGCAATACATAATTTGCTCACAGATGGATCCTCTGCAGTGAATGGGTGCTGTCAGAATTTTTGGGTGGACTATGCCTTTAACACTGAACGAAAATTACATGCAGAATGATATTTCTCCTCATTCTTTTGCAGAAATACAGGTATATATTGGAGGATGATTCTCCAAAAAAAGGACCGAAGCACTATGATTATGAAGGTGAAGGATCTGTTACCGGTTCCATTGAAAGCTGCAGCTTCATCGAGTCTAATGATGATCTGGCGTTCTTGAACAACCTGGGTTCAAAGTTCAACACCTTGGCTGAGGTGTGTGGATTCAGACAGACTGACCCAAAAGTTATTGTTAATACTGTCGAGACAACACCAAACGCAGCTGCATCTTCCAGTCACATAACCAACATCGTCCAGCCCAGTCCTGAGGAGATACCTGTTAAATCGCCACTTGTCCAACCTGCACCTAGTCAGGGGATTGTCATACAGGAACCTATGTACTACGGGTTCAACCAGCCAATGGCAAGCAATGTTGTGCTGTCAGAGGATGGGCTTGGGCAAGGTGTCTACATAATCAATGGAACTCCAGAAGCGGAGAGAATTCTGACTCAAGGTAACAGCCATACACTTGCACATTTTGGTAGTGGACAACAGGCTGTTCTAGCAAACAACATCATTGGTGATTCCGTCTTGTACTCACAAATTGGACCTCAAAGTCCAGTAATGATTACCGAAGGTTTAGGTGAAGTTAATCCTGCTGTAATCCAGAACCTTTCACCAACTCGAAACCTTGTAATGATGCCACAGCAACAACTAGGTGGAATTGGTTCACTGCAGATGGTAAGAGTACCCATGGAATCGGTTGTATCAGGAGAGAACGGGCAGGGTAGAGTAACTCTTATAGATGGCTCAGTCACTGGAGGTAAAGTATTCGTTGGAGGTCTAGGTCCTAGTCATTGTCCCATGAGCCCTCAACTACTTTACCCAGTAAGTTCTCAAGAGTTGGGTGGATCAGTACATATGAACCAAACAGTAGTTGATGGCTCCCTTTACAGTGTACAGAATGATGGACAAGGGACAGTAACAATTGGACAACGTCCTGTCAATGGAGGTAATGTATTGATAGGAGGCCCAGGAACTCCAAACCTAGTAATAATGCCTCAAATTGCAACTGGTCAGGTAAAAAAACAGCTATTAGAAAGTGGTCCTTACCCAAGTGCTTCAAACATTGCATCAAAAGAAGGTGGAGAGAGTAGACTACTGTTTGGTGGTCATTCTATTCTAGAGGGTCCTGTTAGTGAAGGCAATTTATTGGTTGCGGGCCCAGGTCAGCTTCCTGTGTCTATAAGCACAGGAGCTCCAAACTTAGTGAGACTGACTCAAGTTGCAAATGGTCACTTGCCAAGTGTTCAGAAAATTGTATCAGGGGAAGGTGGACAGAGTAGACCATTGGTTAGTGGTCCCACTATTCTAGAGGGTCCAAGTCAGCTTTCACTAGCCATGAATCCAGGAGTGCTAAGACCTTTCGAACTGCCTCAGGTAGCAAACAGACAGTTATTTAATTCTACAGTGTCCAGAGTTCTGACGTCAATGGTTATGATGCCAAAATCCAAAGGACTTGCAACAAATGGGCAGCTGAATGTTGAGCAGTGATCTAGTTTTTGGTCTAGTGGCATTAATACTGCATTAATTCTCAGGATGGGATTGCTGGCAGAGAAGCACAGAAACTATTTTAAGCATCAGATGAATTAGAAGTACTCAGCAGTAAGTGAGTATGGTATTTAAAGGCCAATAATGTTAGACATGTTGCCTTTTGTTTTGCATATTAAATCTACAGATTAGATTTCAACGAAAAAGTTTACACATTAGACGTACTTTTTATAGGGCAATAAATAACTTGATTAACAATACATAATTTAACAATTTAAAATCATATCTTTAACTAAAATTTATATGGTATACTGTGATTATATGTAGCATTTAAATGTATTCTAAAGCTTTTATTGCCGTAAATCTTATAATAACATTTTGAATTTTGAATATGAGCAAGGTGACTGATTTAAAATTACTGTTGATTAGTATTAGTCAGTTCAGTCACATGATTCCATGGACTTCCATTATATTTGCATTACTGCAAACAGTAGGGAGGAGTCAATGTTATGTCCTGTGGAATTCATACCACTGATACTAATATATTTCATATTTCTTTCAGTATTTTAAAATGTGATTTCTCTTGGGATTTTTTCATGGAACATTTTTTTTTGTGTGTGAAGCTACGACTTCTGTGATAAAAAAAAACTGTTAATGTTAAGGTGTTTGTAAGATTTTGTGTTTTTAAACAATGCTGTCTTGTGTATGGTAATACAATTGTTTTGTTTTTTTCCCAGTAGTTTCAAAAACAAAAAATACATGTGATGTTTTACTCTTTAAGCCATTTCATGAACAGAATTTTGGGGTGAGCAAGAATAAAGTTGTAATGACTAAAGAGCAGTCCATGAAATTGTATGTAACCCAGGTAATTTAAAGATAAATAATTTGCTTTTTTTTTCTTTCTTCGTGTATGCTTAATAAAGCAAACATTTCCATAATCATTTATTTGACTAGAGTGATTTTTTTTTGTGTGTGATTCACACCATCTAGTGGTATGAAACTGTATTGATGTTTTTACCACACTGGTCAGGTTTTTTTTGGGGGGCGAGCTGCATTTCGGTGAGAGGAGTAGCACATGAACCTGTAGCAAAGGGGAATTCTCAAAGTTCTTTAAAGTGTTGCCAGTCTGTTTAGAGGAACCGAAAAAATATTTGGACACGTAAGCTACACTAAAAATGTGTATAATTGTTTTTTGCATAATGTAACAGCATATCAAACCAAGTGTCATTTGTTTTAATGAAATATATAACTTTTAAAGCAAAACATTTCACAAAAAAATGATTGTCCGGTTTCACATGATAAAACAATGCTCAATGCTAAACTATTGTGACACTTGATGATTTTCAAACATTTGTGAATATGTTCACAGTTAATGTGATTCTCTACACCTATGGTTACTCTAATTGGACACCTGTGTGAATTTATGGAGAACTGACTTCATGCAGGCCCTAAATATCACCTTGCTTAAAATAGCAAAAATTAGTCCGGAAATATACATTTGGTTGATATTTTGAAATTCCTACATTTTAAATTTAAGTGTCTAAATACTTATTGGGGACACTGTATAGTTTTCATGTTCATGCACACTTACACAGCCTCACATACAGCTGCCACAGTCACTATATCTTGAATTTCACAGTTTAAATGTGTTGCATTAGCTTCCGTTACATAAAATTAAATTTGAATATGTGAATTTAGTGCTTATTTCATACAAGGTGTGACTAAAAGTGGAGGGTGGAGAGAGAGGTGGTAGGGGGCTCTTCCACAGCAGAAAACTCTCACGCCTGGGTGTGTATAAGAGAAAGTGCTCTTTCAGATGCCCCACCCAAAAAGTGATCAGTAACCTGCCCCCCAATTCCAACCCTCTATACAAGAACGGCTCTGATCAACAGGTCACGACTGAGAGAGACAGAGGACGGGAGAAGATACGAGAAACAAGGACTGACCACTTCCATCTGACTTACAGCTCACATGCCTCCCATTTGGCTTGGACGAATATGTTTGGTCCTGCTGCTGTGCAGGATCGTGGTAATTCACACCAAACCAACAGGTGTTTTGTGTTTCTTTCACACATATTTAAGCAAATGTAATGATTACATGTAATAATAAAGCAGTTTTATTATTAACATACTATGCATACTTTGCACACTTGGTGTTTCTGATCACGTTAACTCCTAAAACTTTTTAAAAAGTGTTTTCTTCACCAGAAAAAAATAAAAAAACTTGAATGTGAGATTATACAGTGTTGAATGGATAGATTTGTTCTGATCCGTTCAGTTTGATCTGATCATGTTGTGTTTACATTGATATATCCCTGCATATTATAAAGTAAGCCACTATGAGTATCATAATAATCACTAATTGCTGAGGCCTTTTGTTATCTTAACCACTTGCAGGCAGAGGTATCTACCACTTATCACTGTTAATATGAAAAATGCCTGTGGGCAGCATTGTCTAAAGTTTAAACCTGCACTCTGTGCAACAGCATTACTGTCACCTCAGTATGTACTTCGAACTATGAGTACTAGATTAGTTTGGTTAGTAATAAGGACAATTTTGATTGAAATGCATAGCGTAAATGGTCTGCATTACCTGTTGTTTTCAGGCAAGAAGACCGATTTTAATTTTAAAATTCTGTTCATTTCTATGTATGTGTCTGGTGTGCTGTGGCAGGTCATAAATAATTCCCAAAAGCATTTACAAGCATTGAGAGGAAGTATGTAAAATGATACGTAAAATCTGCTTTCTCATGGTGCACATCAGTGCTACAGTAATTCATTATTGTTAGCATTTACACACTTGAAAAATAGCATTTGGATCTATTTTCATCAGCCATCAACAGTTGTCAACCATAAAAAGTTGACACTAAAATTGGCGTGACTAGGGATGAAAAGGTCACTAAAATATATAAAGAACAAATCTCAAAGATCTTCACAGGAATTGTGTAAGATTCAATATGCAGTACATTTAGAGGTAGTTATTCTTTATCCTTACTTTGATGACAAAACAATTTTATTAAAAATATATTTTGATAAAGGTGGTTAATACTGTGTATATGGTAAACAAAGTGATGTCATGGATATACTTAGTGTCTAATGTCCTGAAAAAATCAAATTCTTTAGGCATCAAGAGCCAACAGCAGATCTAATCGAAGGAAACGAGAGTGGATTCTTCCACCAACAAGACTTTATGAGAATACTGACTACACAAAAGAGGAGTGAGTATGTGGCAAAAGTAAGCATGTTATAGTTTTTTTTTTTTTCATACGTAACCCAAAGCCATGCTTTGCATATGCTTGCACTGGGTGGTCCCGATGTCAAACTTTTCTTGTTTGCGCTATCATCTGAAAAACTTGAGATCTGGATCTGGATCTCAATATATCCTCCTGAGACCCAGCAAAAACAAAAGCTGACAGGAGTTTTTAAAATGTATTTTAGTTAAAACTAGTATTTTTCTGTAATCTTTATATTTTGTATATTTGCATTCACTTAAATATAGTATTGCTCATCTACATAGCGTTTTAAAATATATGTTTATTTTTAAAAGTTTTTTAAAAAGGTTTAAAAAACACATTAAAGAGCCTCTTATTCTTATAAATGTCTTAAAACATTTCATACCACTGAAAACCGAGAAGGTCCTCAATAAAGTACACCAGGATAATGGCCTGTTATCGACACATATGCCCTCTGTTGAGACAGAATTTATGATAAAGCAAATACGGGTACTTACAGTACTTCTCATGATGCAAAATGCAAATCTGTGCATTTACCAATATAAAGCTGCTTGGTTTGAAAGTGACTACTGAGTAACAGTGAATGTCCACTACAGAGGCAGAACTACCGTCGCTCAAAATGCTAGGAGTGTGTAAAGTGGTAGTGTATAACGAGTGTGTAAAATCTTTCTTTTTTTTTTCAACACATGGCCAGTATAATCATCACAGACACACACAATTCCAGTTTGGAAAGATGCAAGCTTTCTTTCCAGTTGACCAAAGTAAAGTTACAGTGTCACTTTAACTTGTGTAAACCCAGTCAAGACAGTCGTCACTACCTAAACCTCACATCGACTGGCTGCCACCTATGTTTTTCACTTGATATTTGCATAAAGTCGAGCATTTCCCAAGCTTTTTTGACAATCTCGGTTTCACTGGTACACTGTCAATCCCACAATTCACCACTTAAGCCTGAAGCTCAACTCCCATGCAAATAAACTGAAAACGCTTGCTCTGTTCTGGTGCATCGTGTATCACCATGCCTCTCACATATTTCAATTCTCAATATTCACAGGCATTCTTAATATTGTCTTGCTCTTTTCTAGATCCGGTCTGATAAAGATATTAACTGGCAGATGGTGGAATATGGACTATCAGGTCACGGCGCTGACAAGGCACCCTATAACTTGTTTGTAATCAATCCTGAAAATGGCTATGTTAGGGTCACCGGCCTGCTAGACAGAGAGAAAACATCCTTATACAACATGAGTTGTGCCCCATGCTTGGCTAATTCATTACAGACACGTAAATGAGATGATGATTCAGATAATGACTGAATTAAGAGACCTTGATACACACATATCATTTTATTCTTCTGTAGCTGACTGGCATAGCAAGATTTCGTAATGGATCAATAGCAGAGGAAAACATTGAGCTGAAGATTAAAGTTGAGGATCAGAATGATAACCCACCAATATTCAAATTACAAAGGGGATCTGTGAGGGAAAGCAGCAAGATTGGTGGGTTGCATTTATGACCATGCTGTGTTTCTGTTTTCCTAATTAACCGTAGTTTCCCAACTTCCTTAAGTACACACTGATTTCTCTGTTCTACAGTTTAAATATTTACAAATTAAAAATATAACACTATTTTATACATGGTTAATAACTTGGCCTAAAATAGCATACTTCTTGTTACTGCAAAATAGGTTACTGCTCCAATAAGACTTTACAATTTTTACCATAGTCTTACAGCCCCCTATTCTACAGTATATACTTGATAAAAATGTCAATTTTTCTGTCAACATGCTTGTGAAACTATAGGAAACCCTGTCATGCGGATAGTAGCTACTGACGCGGATGAGCCGGACACTATCAATTCCAAAATAGCATATAGTTTATTAAGACAAACCCCAGCAGAATC